ACTGTCCTTTGGCTCTTCTTGGATTCTTATGCACAATGTCTTGCCATAGTAGAGGTCAACAAATGAGTTGGAAGAATGGGTGTTTATCCTCACAGTAAGTGAGGTTACCTCTTTGCTTAAGGTAACTTGTCTGAATCTCTGCTTCTATAACAGATCCTCTGCCCCAGCACTTGATGGAAACTGTTTCCTTAAATCTTGCTGTGGAGTTTGCTAAACACTCATTTCATCTTAATCCTCTTTGACTTATTGAGTCTCTCCTCTCGTGTGATGCAATACTGTCCTAGTTTTCCTGCCTCTGACCACTCCTCTACCTTAGCTAGTTTCTCTTCCTCTTCTCACTTTCTTAAGTGTAAACTAACACTTGGTCTGTCTTCAGCTCTCTTTTAGCTCTATTCTCTCTTGTTATCAAGTAAACCATTTAATACCATTACTTTGCATACAGCCTCAATAGGGGTGACTCCCAAATCTGTATCTCCAAGCCCACCACTGAGTCCCTGAAACTGAATAAGACTGAAATAGAACTCATCTTGTTCCCTTAATTAGTTCCTTTTCTTGACTTCGCTATTTCTATTTGCTGCACCACCAATATTCCAGTTTTGAAATCTGAGTTATCTTTGTGTGGTTTCTTCTCTTTTTCCTTCCCCAGCATCTAATCAGTTGTAAAGCCTACTTAATAATAAAGATAGTAATAATTGCTAAACCTCCTCTGCTTCCAAAATCTTTTGTTGCTTTCCATAGCCTACCAAAAGAAGATTTTTTTTTTAAAGCCCCCAAATTCAGAATTCTCTACATGTTGCAAACTCATATTTCTAGCCTTATTTTCCACGGAAAATTTTTGATTTTGTTGCAGGATTCTCGAACAGAGAGACGAGACACTGAGGCTATAAGCAGGAAGCAGCGTTTATTGATGCCGGCACCGGCTCAGCGGATTCTTATCCAAAGGCTGAGCCTCGATTGTAACATGGCGGGCAGGCAGTTTTATACCATGTTACGCATTCTTACACAGCTATAGATATTCCATATAAGGAAGGAGAACATTGACTGCCAAACTGTAAGGAAACCGACTTAATCGTTTAAGCAGATTTTTGGACTGCCATGTCAATCGGAGAGTCCTGGGATGGGGGTGCTGCAGTCAGGAACTAACTTGTGCAGCAGGAAATGGTCCAGCAGGGTCAGGCTGCCACAATTTACCATCCTGTTACATATTAACAATTCCTGTTACATAGTAACAATAGAACTTAAGTTCTATTAACCAAAAGATAGCAAAAGATTTTTTAAAGATTATTCCATTTTTTTTTTTTTGTATTAGGTTAAGTGAGCAATTTTGTGGAAGTGAAGAGAGCAAAACTGACTTATTCTTCACCTTCTTGATATGTGGTTAGAAGATTAAATTCAGAAAAGTAAGCCCATCAGGAAATATCCAAGAATATAGTGCATTTTAAGCCAATCGGGCTGTCATAAAAACTTTAAAATTAGATGTATTCTATATAAGATAAAACTTGTGGGAGAACCTGGCCAATTGAGGGTGAGTCAAGAGAAGGGTTACCTAGCATAACCGGTTTTTAATCCTAGTGAATGCAGCATCTTTTGGAAATGGATGGCACTCAGGAACTTTATTCAATAATTTTTTGAAATATATTTAAAATAGATTACTGGTTGCCAGGGATGGGGAATTGGGAAATAAGGAGTGATTACTAAAGGGTAAGGAGTTTCTTTTTGTGGTGATGAAAATGCTCTAGAATTAGATAGTGGCGATGGTGTACAACTTTGTGACTATGTTAAAAATCACCAAATTGTACACTTTCGAATGGTAAATTTCGTAATATGAAACTATATATTTAATGTTACCGATTGCTGATATTATAGGACTGTTTGTTATTTGATTGTTAAATCATCTTGTTGATTGAGGTTTTCCCAATTTCCCTGACTTTCAAGAATATAGCCCCTGCTATAAAACAAGGAATTATTTTAATCATATTTGCTAAGATTTACTAAGTATTCAGTGTGTAAAATGCTTCATGCACATTATTTCATTTAACCCTCATAACAACTTTATGAGATTGGTATTATTATGCCATTTTTAAGGAAATTGAAGCTTAGAGAGGTTAAGTAACTTGCCAGGGTCACTCAGTAATTAAGTTTAGGAACCAGGATTTGAACTATTTATCTGACCCTAAAACCCATTATCCTAATCATTAAGTCTGCAGAGGACCAATCAATATTTTGTGCAACTGAATTTATCAGATGGATCAGATTTGTGATGCAAAATAGCTAGAATAATTTCCTACTACTCCAACTAATTGGAAACTGAAGGAGATTCTGAAATTTCTCAACCCACAAATCTTAAGAAATCATGCCCACTACCAGCCCCTTAGGGAAAATGTCAGCTTAAGGCAGAGGGAGGAAAATTCAAGTTGGGAATTGATATTCATCCTTATAAAGCCCCTGGCTGGCAGGGATAACCTCTTAAGGAAGCACATCCATCTCCTTCCACTAACCTTGTATATTATCGCAGAGCAGAGAAAAGGCAAAGAGTAGAACAATGAAGTCCTTGAAATATGCAGAAGAAATACTTAATTTTTTCCAGAGGTTTTTTTTTTTTCCTGAGGTGCTTTGGATTGTAAACTTTTGAAATCTTGGATACTAAAATATTTAAGGGAAATTGTTGCTTTTTAAGGGCATTTGTTGCATATTTAAGGACATTTGTTACTTTTTAGCTTTTATTCCTTCAAAGTAATTTTTCGAATACTCTAATGTGTAGATTTTCTGAAGAATTAACCTTAAGAGCAGAGAAATACAATTCATCTATAGAGCACAGCCAGTTCAAACAAGAGCAAGATAGAGCCATGCTCCAAGGCCCTGCCATTTTCACATAAGAAGGAAAGATAATGGACTTGATGACTATTGGAGCTTCTCAGAGTTGAAAGAGATCTTAAGTCATTTAATTTACTCCTTTCCAACCTCTGCCTGAATATTTAAAATAAAGAGAAACTCACTATTACACAAATTATTTCTTTTTACTATTATGTAAAAGTGTCTCTTTTTACTGACTTTGCCTTAATAAGAGTGTAGTAGGAATAGGCAACAGTGTTTATTTTTTTCCTTTAGAAATTATAAACAAAATATTTATAACTCTGTTTCAATAGGGCAAGAAGAGGAGGAGAAAATCTAAAGGTCCCATAATTGAGGAAATTAGAACCTGATCTTTATGATTAATATATGTTTAAATCAAACTTTATAAGAAGTGGAAACTGATAGAAATGATAACTCAGTACATAAGGACTCATGTCAAAATTTCTTGTTGATGAATTTTAGCAAGTTTTTTCAGTTTTCTTATAGTAAATAAACATTTTATTTTGTCTATCTGATTAAGAAGAAAATACTTAGTTTGGAGTATTACATCCTTTATTTTAGCTCTGAACAGATCTTTCTTTAATTTTTTGCTTTTTTACACCTACATCACCTGGACTTCCTAGGTAGTCTCTCATCCAAATACTAACCAGGCCCAGCCCTGTTTAGTTTCCGAGATCAGGCTTGTTCAGGGTGGAATGGCTGTAGACCACAGACTGTGGCTCTACTGGGGTGTGAACCCAGGACCTTTTGCGTGTAAAGCAGACATGCTAACCACTACACTATGGAACCACATTTCTGTCTGTTAGTTCTAATTGGTTTACAGTGTTGTTCAAGTCCTCCATTCCCTTACTGATCTGTCTAATTGTTCTACCCATTATTAAAAGTTGAATATCAGAGTCTACAACTATTAATGTAGAACTATCTATTTCTAACTTCATTTTGTCAGTTTTTGCTTCATAGATTTTGGGGCTCTGTTGTGAGGTGTGCATATAGTTATCATTGTTATATCTTCTTGATAGATTGACCCTTTATCAATATATAATGTCCTTCTTTGTCTCTTGTAACAATTTTTGCCTTAAAGTCTATTTTGTCTAATGTTAGTATAGCCACTCCCATCTCTCTTTCGGTAAATATTTGTATGGAAGATCTCTTCCTCTTCTTTCACTTTTAATCAGTTTATATCTTTAGATCTAAAGTGAGCCTCTTACAGGCAATATATAGTTGGATCATGTTCTTTTTATTCATTTTCCCAATTTCTGCCTTTTAATCAGAGGTTAATCCATTTTCATATAAAATAATTACTGATAAGAACTCATTTATGCCACTTTGCTATTTATTTTCTGTATATGATTTTTTTGTTTCTTAATTTCTTATTATTGCATTCAAATTGATTTTTTTTCGAGTGAACAAATTTTTTACATTCATTTTTAAAATTTTATTTATTTATTTATAATTTCTTATTATTGCATTCAAATTGATTTTTTTTGAGTGAACAAATTTTTTACATTCATTTTAAAAATTTTATTTATTTAATTTTTAAAATTAAGTTTATTGGGGTAACATTGGTTAATACAGTTATATAATTTTGAAGTGTACATTATCATTTGACATCTGTATATTCTATTGTATGTTTCCCACCAAAGTCCAGTTTCCTTCAGCTACCATATATTTGATCCCCTTTACCGAGTGAACAATTTTGACTTCTTTTTCATTTCTTTTTCAACATATTGTTTAGTATTTTTCCTTAATGGTTACCCAGGGCGTTACAATTAATCTCTGAACTGTCTAACAATCAAGTGTGAATTAATACAAATTTAGTTTCAAGAGTATACAAAATCTGTTCCTTTACAGCTCCATTTCCCTCTTTATATTGTTGTCATCATCACAAATTACATCTATATATGTTGCGTGCCTATAAATATGTTTATAATTATTGTTTTATGTATTTTTAAAATAGTGTTAGGAGTAGTAATAAAAAGTGATGTTAGAAAACACTAAATTTTCCGGATCACTTTCAAAGAAGAGATTATGATGCTTTTACTTTGGCTGCATCAATTCTCAGCTCCTTTAGAAATGGAGCCCACTATTCTGGAATGATGAAATGGACAGCTAAAAAGAGAACTCACTTTAGTTGTTCTTTTCCAAAGGTATCTTCCAAACCTTCCTCCAGCATTGACCCAGGCAACTACACTGAAGTGAATGATTTGATCACCGAGATACCCTCTAAAGTGCAGATACAAGATATTACTATGGAGCTACACTGTCCTCTGTGTAATGATTGGTTCCAGGATCCACTGATGCTAACCTGTGGCCACAACTTCTGCCAGGCCTGTATTCAAAACTTTTGGAAACAGCAAGCAAAGGAAATATTCTGTCCTGAGTGTAAGATGATCTGTCAGTATAGCAACTGTACATTCAATCTTGTACTGGAGAAGCTGGTAGAGAAAATTAAGAAGCTACCCCAACTCAAAAGCCAGCCACAGTGCCCAGAGCATGGAGAGAACCTGAAACTGTTCAGCAAGCCAGATGGGAAACTGATCTGCTTTCAATGCAAAGATGTTCGGTTGTCTGTGGGGCAGTCCAAAGAGTTCCTGCAGCTCTCCGATGCTGTCCACTTCTTCATGGTGGGTGAACCCTGAGCCTTGAAAAACCCCGTAGGAAAGCTGGAAAAAATTTTCTCTCTTCCAATCCCATCCCTTTATTCAGATGATTATTAGAAAGCTCAGAGTACTCAGAAAATACAACACATCTTTCAATGTTCTTTCTCTAGAGTTATTAATTATAGGAAAAGAGTAATGGAGGAGCTGTGGCCTACTCCCTCAATCAGTCAGATATTTACCTAAACCTTTCCTTGACAGCAATCTACTAGACACTATGTAGAATATGGACATATAAGATACTGCTCTTGTTATAAAAGTCTTGAAGTTAAGGAAAAAACAAAAACAAAAAGACTAAACAAACAGAATATAAGATAGTCTACTATTGAGAGATAAATTTTGTCATATTACTAATTCATGAACATTTAGAATTTCAGAAAAGATTAGAGAAAATGGAAATAGTTAAGGGATGTATGGTGAAAGAAAGTTTAAACTGGGAAATAATTTGGATTTAGATGGAATAAGTGTTCTTAAGTGAGAACAATGTAAGTAAAGGTAAAGATAATGAGAACAGTGTAATTAGAGTAGAAAATATAGAGTTCTGTTACATTTCTCAAACCCCTATAGTTAACTAAGAAGGTGGGAAAAAAACCAACAACCTAAATTTTCCTACTGCTTGTAATTTTCTTCCCAATTCTTGAAAGAGACAGGAATTATGATACAGAGGAAAGGAAAGACTTTTGCAGCAAGAACTGGCTTTTTTTCTGACACACTGAAGCTTTGGGAGAGATGCCCCTTATGAACTTTCACCTCCCAAGTCAGTGTAGGTTAATTCTATGTGGTATTCCCAGGAGGAGCTCACCATCTATCAGGGTCAGCTGGAGGCAACCCTGAAGGAGCTTCAGTCCTTGAAGAACATGCAGCAAGATGCTATTGCTACTTATAAGGTGAGGAGTGGGGTAGAGGGGTTATGAGATAGAACTAGAATATAGCCTTCTTGTAACTTTAGTTATCTGGGTGGAAAGGTGCCTACACTAAATGACACCTGGGCTATAGAATTAAAAAACAGATACAGTAAGGTGGAAAGGACTGTGTCAGTAGAGTAGGTTCCCAGTAGTTGATCAACAGAGAGAGCAGACTGGTCTTTCCCCTAATATGCTGATACTTTTGATGGTTCACTAGGTGATTGTTGTGGGGTTGTGATCTGTCTGATCTTTCCTTTTATCTATGGCAAAATAAGGAATTTATCTATGGCAAATCCACTAAAGATAGCTATGTCCAAAGAAATACTTCTCTTTTCTTTGAATTTACAACAAGGCTACCTCTGAATCAAGGTCTTTCAGATTGCTGGCTTTTCCCGTCTGATTTGATTTTTCCTAGCTTCCCCCAAACGAAATAACACTATTGCTTATACTTTCAATTTCACAGGAACTCTAGGACAACATTAATGGTTAGAGACTTGGCAAATAATCCCTAGGTCGGGGGCTAAATTGGGAGTTCTATTTCTTTGTTAATTATTCTATGGAAGAAAGTAGTCTCTGGCATTTGGTATTTCGAAGAAGAAATATATACAGTGGGAGAAAGAAGAAAGATAGATGAGAATAATGACATCCCAAAGTATCTTGTTCCTGTTGTAAGAACTGCTAGTTTAGCTATTACAGTTAACGTTTGTTCATTCAAAAAATATTTACTGAGTGGGTCATGCATTATACTAGATACTATATTTCATTAGGTTGAGAGACAGATGTTAATTAAATAATTCTACCAATTACAATAAAATAACTGTGATAATTACTATAGATAAAAATATAGGGTGTTATGAGAGCATATCAGTGGAGAACCTAACTTAGACTCGGGGAGGGGTGTTCTCTTACGAAGTCACATATTAATAAGAGAGAATTGAAGGATAGATAAGTAACTTAGCTAAGTAAACTCGGTGAGAAGAATATGAAGGAAGCGTTCTGAAGAAGAATGTTCTATGAAGAGTAAAGGGCACTTGGAAAAGTCCTGAGACAGAAAGTTAGTTGCTAAGTTAAACAGAGAAAACCAATAAAACTGGATCCTGGTAGGCAAGATGCTACTGAAGAGGCAGACATGGGCCCAAACATGTAGGCCCTTGTAGATACTGTTAGAAATTTTGACTTCACCCTATGAATAATGAGAAGCCATTAAAAGGTTTAAACAAGACACAGTTTCATCTCATTTCATCTTATCAGTCTGGCGGCTGTGTGGAGAGCGTATTGAGAAAGACAAGGACAAAGATAATGGTTAGAAGGACTACTGCAGTGATCCCAGAGAATGATGTTGGTAGCTTGGTCTAGAGAGGCAGTGGAAATAGAGAGAAATAAATGGCTTCAGCATATGCTTTGGAGGTTAAAAAAAAAGAAAAGTCTGGATGTGGTGATTTATTAGATGTGAGGGGTGAGTGGAGATGTCAAATAGTTGGATATAGGAACCTGGAGCTTAGAACCTGGTCTAGGCTGGAAATAAGAAGTCAGTATACAGATAGTATTTAAAGCTGTGGGAAGAGAGGATATTACCTAGAAAGAGAATGTAGAATGAAAAGGGAAAGGAGCCCAGGACAGAATATCAAGTAACTCTAATATTCAGAGCTTGGTTAGAGGAGACAGAACCAATGGACAAGACTGAGAAATAGTGGTGCAATAGGTCAAAGGAAAACTGGAAAAGTGTGAGCTAGAGGATAGAGAGAGAGTGAAGACTATTTTACAAGGGCAATTATAATGATAAACCATAGACTCCAAGCTGGATAAGAGGGAACATGAAAACAGATGAAATTGAAGGAATAGAAATGGAGGGGTCAACATATCGAAGGTTTCAATGAGATCCAATAATTGTTGCAATAGGGGTACATGAGTGAGTATAAAAAGTTATTTTTGGAGATGGTGCAATTTCTGGGGTGAATAAAATCCTCATTGTAACTAAGAGAATGAGTAGATAAAGGTGGAAATCTCTAGAAGTAAGGAGGATAAGGAACCAAGAAGCCAGAATTTCAGATAGCTCATTCAGGAGGATGTTGAGGTCACCTAAGAAAAGAGCTGCAAATGTAGCAGCTATTAATTTCAGTGCTTCAACCATTTTCCATCTCCTGCTTCTTTCATACTGTCTTGGCAGCAGGCGTGGCATCTCTCCAGCTCCGATTTCTTAATAAGAACAGTTCTTTCAGCCTCCCTTATGGCCCCTGTTTAAGAACATCACTTGATAATTTTTGGTTTGTACTTCTGGGTAGGAGGGTGTTATCATTCATTATAGAATGTTTGATTAACTCCACAGTCTTATTTAACATGGCATTGGTTACCACCTCAGTACCATATTAGGACTTAGTGACCACTTTTGACTCTTTCATCCTGAACTAGCTGAGAAAGACAGAGTAAGTCTCCCCCCACCAAAAATGGGCCTCCTTTTAGTATGGTTGAATGCTGACACTCAGCAGCCATTTCTATGCATTTTCCTGTTATGGTATTTCCCAAGTTGTGTGAGTATTGGTGGTGCGGGCCCCTGTCCCCAAGTGCTAGTCTCAGTAATTACTATGGTGATGATCATGGAGATTTCCAGGAAAACAAGCTACATCTGCAGCAACACATCTCCTTGGAGTTTCTAAAGCTGCATCAGTTCCTGCACAGCAAAGAAAAGGACATTTTAAACGAGCTCTGGGAAGAGGGGAAAGCCTTGAAAGAGGAGATGGAGTTGAATCTGAATCAGCTTCAAGAACAGAATCTACTAGCCAAGGACATGTTGGCAAGCATCCAGGCACGGATGGATCAGCAGAATTCCTTCGACTTTCTCAAAGTAAGTGTACACGACGGGGGTGTCAGAAAGGATGTAGAAGCACTGTTTTTCCCACAAGGGGGAAAATCTGCTGCAGTGCAGATTCCCTGAGAGAAAAGCAGGAGGGAGGCTACTTTTGCCTTATACTCAATGGAAAGCTTTACTTTCAGTTTTTCATTAATTGCCATTAATAACAGCATATATTAATGTTTTAATATTTTTCCACAAAAAAACTTTGAAGCTTTATTTCTCAAAAATAAGAAAGTTACAACCTAAGTTGTATCTTTGGCTCTCAGCCATCATAAATTGACCTGTATGAAAAACTGTTTGCCAGACTTTGCTACCTGAAGCTTTACCTCTAAAGTGGAATTGGTTATCACCTCAGCACTCAGAAGCTTAATTAGCCAGAGTAAGGAAAAGTGGCCTTGGGACTGGAATACCTACTGGGTTTTTCTACTGAGACAATGTGGCAGTATACGTAGAAATGGCTTATCCTTAACTTCTGTCTTGTTCCATGTAAAAGGGAACTCTAGAAATTCAGAGCAAGATAAGAACAGTTTATTCTGGGTTAGATGAAGGATGCAGATCAGAAAAGGCATAAAGAAGATGAGAGCTAGCAACTGAATAGGGACCATCTGCACAGGATCCCAGTATTGACAGTCAAATGCTAGTGGTGGCCAGTATCACCAAGGAAATTTCTGGGGTTAATGAATAGGTATCTAACTTTTCTATTTCTCCTTTCCTCTTCTAGGACATTACACCTCTCTTGGATAGGTAAATGATTCCATATGGTATTAATGCCCTACCTTCAGTCCCTAGAAGATGTCCAAGAATAAATAATTTATGTTTCCTTCAGCTTGGAGCAAGGAATGAGGGTGCTGACACCCAGAGAGCTTATCTCCAGAAAGCTGAATCCCGGCCTGTACAAAGGTCCCATTCAGTACACGATGTGGAAGGAAATGCAGTCTACTCTCTCTCCAGGTATCAGTGCGTAGTAGCCATTGGTTCTTGGGGATCCTAATCTCTTTCATATGTAGGACCTCTTCTGTGGTTCTAATTAGTACTTCAGATACTAATTAGTCTGGGACATGGAAGGGTAGAGTTTAGCCAAAAGAAGGCTAGTTGGTATGACTGAATTTCTTTTGGTACCATAACCTAAGAATTTAAGGATTTTTACTAGAAACAGTCTGATGTCAGAATAACCACTCAGCCTATGATTATGTTTGATTGTTCTATCAAGTGCGATAACCAATATTTTATCGTTTTGCTAAATTGGTTATACAAATCCCTGGAGCTTCCATGCCCTGGAGGAGGAGGTTACTAAAGCTACCCTTTGAATGTAATAGGGTCTTTATAGGTGCTCCTGTGTTTGATGTTCCATATGGTATTAATTCCATATGGTATTAATGCCCTACCTTAAGATGTTATACTCTATACACTCTAAAGTGGTAACCAATTCCACTTTAGAGTATATAGAGTATAATATCTTAAGAGATTGTTTAGAGACCTTAACTGCTTCAGAAGAAAACCAAGAAGTTCAATAGGTGTGCCTAATAAGGACACTAAGTTTTCGTCATCCTGCAGATGCCAAAAGACTGAGCAGGAGAAAAGAACACAAATGGCATTTTGAGAACATAAAATAAAGTTCTAAATACAAATCTTCATAAAAATAAAGTTCTAAATAAAGTTTTTAAAAATAGAATTCATATAGACTCATTATTAGTAGTAGTTTATTGACTTAGCGAAAATCACAAATCTATCCGTGTTAATAATCTTTCCAGGTAATTGACATTGACTGAGGTACAAATAACGAAGAGTAAAACTCAACTTTTTATTCCAAACTCAGCTTTTTAAAGTGTACAATTCAATGAGTCTTGACAAATGTATATACCTCCATAAACATTTCCAGAATTAAGATATAGAAAATTTCTGTCATCCATAAAAGTTCCTGCATATCCCTTTACAGTAAATCCGTTCCTTCTATCCCCAGCCCCTGACACTCACTAATCTGCTTTATTCCACTTTAGTTGTGTCTCTTCTAAAATTTCATATAAGTGAATTATAGATTATGCAGTTTGTGTCTGGCTTTTTTTTTTTCACTTAGCATAATGCTTTTTGAGATTCACTGCATCTATCAATAGTAATGTTTTATGGATACATCACAATTTGTTTATTCACTCACCAATTGATGGACATTTGAATAGTTTCTAGTTTATGGCTATTATGAATAAACTTGCCTAAACATTCGTTTACAAATTTTTATGTTTTAATTTCTTTGGAGCAAATATCTAGTGGTGGGATTGCTGGGTTGTGTGTTAAGTGTATGCTTAACTTTATAAGAAACTACCATATTTTTTTCCTAAAGTGACAGTACCATTTTACATTCCCACCTTCAGTGGATGAGAATCCCACAGTTTCTCCATATCCTTGCCAAAACTTGATATTGTCAATCTTTTAAATTTTAACCATTTATTAGACATATAGTAGTATCTCACCGTGGTTTTAATTTATATTTCCCTAATGACTAATTTTGACAATCTTTTTATGTGCTTCTTTGCCGTTCATATATTTTTTTGGTTAAGTATATTTGATCTTTTGCTCGTTTTTTATTGCATATTTTTATTATTGAGTTTTAAAGGACACAAATTTTTATCAGATATATGTTTTTCAAATATTTTCTCTCAGTTTGTGGCTTGCCTTTCATTTTCTTAACAAGGTCTGTCAAAGAACAAAAGTTTTTATTTTTGATAAAATCCAACTTATCAATCTTTTTCTTTTATGTTTTATCCTCTTTGGGTCCTAAGAAATCTTTTCTTAACCCAAAGTCACAAATTTTCTCCTATACTTTTTTCTGGAAGTTATCATTTCAGCTCGTATATTTAGGTCTATTACCCATTTAGAGCTAATTCTTGTATATAGCTGAAGGTAAGGTTCAAGGTTATTTTTTTCTGTGTGAGTGCCCAATTGTCTCCACATCATTTGTTTAAAAGACTACTTTTTTTTTATTTTTTTTTTACCACTGAAGTACTTTGGCACCTATGCCAGAAATCAACTGTAGTCTACTATAGTCTCTCAATCTTGTTCCATCAATCTGTATTGTTTATTCTTATACCAACAACACAAGTCTTTATTTAGGTTGCTTTATGAAAAATCTTGAAATCAGGTAGTATGATTTTTCCTTTCAATTCATTAGTTTTGCTTCATGTATTTTAAAGTTCTGTTATTAGGTGAATACACATTTAGAATTGTTATGATCGCTTGATGAATCAATCTCATTATAATTGTGAAATGCTCCTCTGTATCCTTGCTAATATTCCTTTTTCTGAATTCTGTTTTGTCTAATATATGTATCTTTTCCCATCATCTTATTTTTAACTCATTTGTGTTTTTATTTTTCAAGTGTGTTTCATGTAGTTAGCGTGTAGTTGTCTTGCTTTTTAAAATCCAATCTGACAATCTGTGTCTTTTAATTGAGGTGTTTTGACCATTGACATTAATGATAAGCAATATAAATGAGTTTAAATCGAGCATCTTGGTATTTGTTTTTATTGATACCATACCATCTGTTCTTTCTTCCTTTTTTTCCTCTGTACCTATCTTCTTTTAGATTGAGTCCATTTTAGTTATCTCTTTCATCTTCATTATTGGCTAATTATCTGTACTTCCTTATTTTATTAAAAAATTTTTATACATTTTTTGGTTGCTTTAGGATTTTATAATATGCACCTTTAACTTATCCCATATTATCTTCCAATAACAGATAATGTAAAAAACTTATAATAGTATACTTTTACATTCTTCATCCTTTATGCTGTTGTCATACATTTTATTTCTACACATTATAAATTTTTTTTAATTTAAACAGTCAATTGTCTTTTAAAGAGGTTGTTTTTTTATTTTTTATTTTTTATTTTAACGTCTACAGCACTTGGTCTTCTTAGGTGGTCTCCCATCCAAGTACTAACCAGGCCCGACCCTGCGTAGCTTCCGATATCAAACATCAGGCTTGTTCAGGGTGCCATGGCCATAGACCACAGACTGTGGCTCCACTGGGGCATGAACACAGGACCTTTTCCATGTAAAGCAGATATACTAACCACTATACTATGGAACCATGTCCTTTTAAAGAGATTTTTTTAAATGAAGAAATATCTTTTATATTCACATATTTACAATTTCTGAAACTCTTTATTTTTTTATGTACATACAAATTCCATCTGACATCATTTTTCCTTCTGCCTGAAGAGCTTCCTTTAACATTTTTTAAAGGAAGCTCTTCCTTTAAAGTTTATACTTTAAAGTTCAAGTATACTGGTGATGTTTTCTCTCAGTTTTTGGTTTTTTCACATTTTTTGAAAAATGTTTTTCTTGTTATAGAATTCTGGGTTGATGGATTTCTTTTTCAGTACTTTAAATGTGTCATCCCATTGTTTTCCGAATTGCATAGTTTCCAATAAGATGTCTATTACAATTTTATTCTTTATTTCTCTATATATACTATTTCTTTTTTTTAGACTACTTTTACTTTCTTTTTCTTCCCTTCCCCCTCAGATTACTTTTGTTTTTTGTCACTTGTTTCCACTGATTTGATTATGCTGGGTCTTGGTGTGATTTTCTTTATATTCATTCTACTTATGGTCTACTGAGCTTCTTGAATCTATGGGTTTATAGTAGTCATCACATTTGGAATAATGTCAACTATTATTTTTTCAAGAATTCTTCACCTATCCCCCTTTCTCCTATGCTAGGACTCTAATTTTACATATGTTAGACCACCTGATATTGGCTGACTTGTCACTGATGCTCATTATTTTCTAGCTTTTTTTTTCTGTGCTTCATTTTGAATAGTTCCTATTGCTATTCAAGTTCTCTCATCTTTTCTTTTGTACTGTTTAATCCTCTGTTAATTCTGTTCAAGATGTTTTTCATTTTAGATACATTTCATTTCTAAAAGTTTCATCTGGGTCTTCATATATCTGCCATTTTTCTTCACCATGTTCATGTCTTCCTTTACATTCTCAAGCAAATGAAAGATATTTATGATAGCTGTTTTAATGGTGTTGCTAATTCCATCATTGTTGTCATTGCTGGGCATATTTTCATTGCTTGATTTTTCTCCTGACTGTAGGTCATATTTTCCTGCTGCTTTGCATAGCTAGTAATTTTTTTCATTTTAACAGATTTAATTTTTTAGAATACTTTAAATTTATAGAAAAATTAACAAGATATAAAGTTCTTATATACTTCATCTCTAGTTTCTCCTATTATTAATGTCATTTTACATTTCATATGATACATCTTTTACAATTAATGAATCAATATTAATACATTATTATTAACTAAAGTCCATAGTTTATTTAGATTTCCTTAGTTTTTATTTAATGTCATTTTTCTGTTCCAGGATTCCATCTAAGGTGCCACATCACATTTATTTGTCATGTTTCTTTAAGCTCTTCTTGGTTGTAACAGTTGCTTACCCTTTCCTTGTTTTTGATGACTGACATTTTTAAGGAGTATTGGTCACATATTTTGTAGAATGCCACATTATTGCAATTTGTCTGATATTTTTCTCCTAAGACTAAGGTTATAAGTTAGTAAGAGGAAGACCACGTAGTTAAAGTGCCATTTTCATCACTTCATATCAAGCATACATACTGTTAGCATGATTTATGACCACTGATGTTGGCTCTAATCACTTAGCTGAGGCAGTGTTTGTCAGGTTTCTCCACTGTAATGTTACTCTTTCTGTCCCCTTTCTATCTGTATACTTTGGAAGGAAGTCACTATGAACAGCCCACGGTTAAGGGGTGGGGTTATGCTCCTCCTCCTTGAAGGTGAAGTATCCACATAAATTATTCAGAATTCTGCATGGCAGCTTTGTGTCTTCTGGCTGGTAATTTTTTATTAGATGTCAAACATAATCAATTTCAAATTGCTATTTGCTGGATTTTGTTGTAATCCTTTAAGCTCTCTTGGATTTA